AAACAGACAAACTACAGGACCAAAAATGAAAAAAAAAAAAACCCAAACATTTTTATGTGATTCTTTGAGCAAAATATTTGGTTACTGAACGAGTGTTTTTCTGAGGCATCTCTGCTCTTTGTCGTCTCGCTGCAAGTTTGGGTATGCTCTCACTCTCTCCCTCACTCTCTATCTACGCTCCCTCTTTATCTCACTTCTCTCTGTGGTTTCATGTTTCGGGTGCAATTTTGGGTTTGTGTTCAACTGCAATTTTTTCGATTACTGGTAAAGGGTTTAATTAGATTTTGGGTTTTCTGTTGTTTGCTTGGTTCAGGTTTTTGTTTTGTTTATGGTTTGGGCGGTTTTCTGGATGCTTAACTTTGGTTTGTAAGTTAAATTTCTGGGTTGATGCATTCGGGTTCTGGCTGCCGCATTTTTCTTAGAGTCTAAATATATTTTTTGGATTGTTGTACTTTTAATTAGTGTTATGTTAATCGTGAATCTGTGATGCAAACATATTGATGGTGGATGTTCTATATGGGTTGCTGATTCTATGTTGGAGAAATCAAATTTTTGGTTTTCTGTTTTGCTCACATTGATTTTAATCAGAGTGCATGCTACAGAAACGAAATATTGGGTTTTGTTTTACCACTTTAATGTTAAGCAGATCAAACAAAGCCCAAAAGGTTCAGATAACAAAATTGACGGAGTTTGGATGGATATGACAGTAGGGGCAACATGGAACACCAAACTTTGGTCAATAGGTAAAGTGGGCTGCTTTGGCTTCCAAGAGACAAAGTAAAATTTGACCATAGTTTCACGATAAATAAGTCTTTTGATAACAACCCTCAATGTCGATGCGAAATTCTGTAGTGAGGGTGCCATATATGACCTCTCTCCTTCATATTTTGTATCACTGTATGGTGCTGGGCCTGTGATGTGAAATTGTTGTGGGATAGCTGAAACTACTGTATAGTTCTCACGGTTCCAATCTTGATAATCAAATTCAAGAGTGGCGCTTTTGTTTTTGGTCCCTGTACGAAGATAGCTGGAAAATCATATAAATGAGCTACTTTTATTAGTTTCCTGGCTCTGTATCCTCTGATTCTCTCT